AACTACAAAAAGGTCATTAGGAATCGCAAGTAAATTATTTCTGAATCTGACAAAACATGTTGGGCTAAACTCTAAAATAAATAATATGTAACAGGTACTTCGAGTAACTTTTTTTTTTTTTTCAAACATGTTTGGAAATGTTACATTTTATGTAAAAAATAGATACTTATTCTGAAAATAATCATTACATTGCTGCCAAATTAACTTAATTTCCAATTTTGACTAGTAAAATTGATGTTTATTTACTTAGTAAACTTTTTACGCTTAGCCAAAACATGCTTTTCAGTAGATTGAGGACTTTAGCACAGGGCTTCTTTCAATTCCAGTACTCTCATTCCAGGTTGCCAAATGAACACTAAAGACAAAATTACCGGAAACCACCAGACTTCACGAAAAATTCCACGTTAGCATTGGAACAAACTAAGCCCCCTGTTTGATGGCAAATATTTTGAAAAAAATGATATTTTGAATTATGATTTTTTGGAGAATGTATGGTTAAAAAATATGAAAAAATTTCGGGTTTACGTACAAAAATTTTTATTATGTGAATGAGAGGTTGAAAATAAGAGTGAGAATTAAAGATGCATTTGTCGTTTGATTTGCTGTTTTCAGTTTTGCAAAACATTGAAAACGTGTTTGGTATAGCATTTTTGAAAATGCATTCGAAAACAATAATAAACTGATAACATAAAACTCAACACACATATTTGATGTTTCGAGTGCTTTCAGTGAAATTTTTTAAAATGTTCAAAACATGAAAAACATGAGTTTAAATAAAATTTTATTTCAATAAAATTTTTTAAAACAAAAATAAAAATTCAAACAAATCAAATTTTAAAATTAAAAAAAGATAAAATTTAAGAAAAATAGATTCGGGAAATAAAATTGATAAATTCTAAAAAAAAAATTGAAAAAAAAGTAAAATCTAAACTTAAAAAATAAATATCTTGAAAGAAAATAAAAATTATAAAAAAATTTAGAAAAATAAAAATACTTGAAACTCTTAATGATTTTTTAAATAAAAATTCTAAAAAAAAAAATGTAAATAAACACAAATAAAAATATTTTCAGTCCACATCATTAATTTTAATTTTTATTTCCTATATTTTGAACTCAATTTATTTTTTATTTTTAT